GGATAGGTGGCACTGATAGGTGGCAGTGTTGGGCACCGATAGGTGGCACAGATGGGTACTGATAGACTGCACTGATGAGGGGGCACTGATAGGTGGCACTGGTGGGCATTGACAGGCATCACTAATGGGCACTGAAAGGCAGCTCTGATGGGCACTGATATGTGGCATTGATGGACACTGACATTTGGCATTGATGGGCACTGAAAGGCAGCACTGATGGGGCTGCACTGATAATCAGTCACTGATTTTCAGTGTAGATGTCCCCTCTGAGAAATGCAGCTTACTGGCTCTCCTCACAAGCTGTCAGTGTGAGGAGAGGACTGCTGATAACCGGCATTTCCTGTTTACATGCGATCAGCTGTGATTGGACACAGCTGATCACAGGATAGAGCCTACATCATCGGCTCTTTACCACGATCGGTGATCCACTGTGTCGCAGGGACACATCACACCACAGATCACCACGCCATGGGCGTGCATGCGTAGCTACAGTGAGAGGACATCATATGACGTCCTCCCAGAACAAGAGAGCTCCCGCCTGTCCATCATCTCCCTATACGGCGAGCGGGAGGTTGTTGAAGTAAACATTATAATTTTTTAAATAACAAACATGTTATACTTACCTGTTCTGTGTAATGGTTTTGCACAAAGCAGCCCCGATCCTCCTCTTCTTCTTGGGTCCCGGTTCTTCTTGGGTCTGGCTCCTCCCCCCCTGCTGAGTGCCCCCTTGCTATGGTGGCGCTCATGCAAGCTTGCTCCTGAGCCCCGCTCTGTGTGTCCATTGACACGCAGAGTGCGGCTTGGCCACGCCCCTGCTCCTTCCTCAGTGGTTGAGATTGACAACAGTGGGAGCCAATGGATCCTGCTGCTGTCTTTCAGCCAATGAGGAGAGAGAGAGCTGAGAGAGCAGCTGCTTTTGTGAACAGCACTGGATTGAAATTGAGCTCAGGTAAGTATTAAGGGGGGGGGGGGGGATGTTGCACACAGAGGTTTTTTTTACCTTCATACACAGAATACATGAAGGTAAAAAAAAAAATGCAGGCTTTAGAGCCACTTTCATAGCAGGGCACTATGTCGCTTTGAGTTTATTGCGATCGGTTCTATGAAAGCTGACCTACGTTGCTGATTCATCATCCATTAACCACCTCTGGAAGATCAAATATATCAACTTCACATTTGTTATCCAACTAAAATGTCCAGCGAGCCTTGGCAGCCTTGAGGCAGCTAGACATGCTGCAACCTGTAGTTCTACAATAGCTGAGGTGTGCCATGTAAAACTTGTAAAAGCTGAACTCCAGGAAGAGCAAATAATCCTAAATATAAGAGGCATATAGAGTATATTTATAAAAAAAAAACTTCATCATCAAAACTTCATGTGAATTCCTTCTGTGTGAATGGGGCAAAATTGAATGTCAGGCTATATCCTCTGCCATTCAAATGTATGAATGTGGAAAATAGCACAGTATGGCCACTAGATGGTGCTGAGGAACAAACCTATTTCATAGTCAGCACCAACTAGAGGCTGTACTGCATTATAGCCACCAGATGGTGCTGACTGTCATAGGAAATAAGTATGCTCCTCAGTGCCAACTAGTGGCCATAATGAGCGATTTTCTGCGTTCACACATTCAAGCTGCAGAGGTTATAGCCTGGGAACATTCGATATTGCCCCATTTGCACAGAACAAATTTACATACAGCCTCAATAGATGAACACTAAGCTCATTTTTTTTTAATAAATACACCCCTTGGTGTGATTTGTGTATTTCTTCCAGATCTGTGCAGTAATCCAGAGTGAGACATCCCCTCTGTGCAGGCGCTTCCTGTAATAAAGACTGAACACCACTGATCTCTCTCTTTGTGCAGGGTGACTGGTCTTGTCTCCGCATCTCCTGTAGTTTCCTGCAGTGGGCAGACTTACCTGGCCCCTCCCACACCTGTCTGCACATGTGTAGCAGAGGGATGATGTCACTGCCACTTTTACAAGGCAATATCTGGGTTTGCAAGGGGATTTGATAAATACAAAGTGGATTTTTATCCTTCACTTTCTGTGTATCTATTATTATTATTTATTCATTATTTGTTATTTATTTATATTGCGCCAACAGTTTGCACAGCGCTTTACAGCATGAGGGCAGACAGTACAGTTACAATACAATTCAATACAGGAGGAATCGGAGGGTCCTGCTTGTAAGAGCTCCTATAGATCTGTGTAGTAATCCAGTGTGAAACTTTGCCTTGGTGCAGGAGCTTCCTGTTATACAGACCGCTCACTGCTGCCCTCTCTCCTTGTGCAGGGTGACTGGTCTTGTCTCCGCCCCCTCCTGTAGTTTTCTGCAGGCAGCCTGTAGTGGGTGGGCTTTCTGAGCCCCTCCTACAGCTCAGCTCTCTGCACAGGCTATGAGAAGCACAGTGATCACACCTCCCAACCAGGGGCGGGCTGACAACTCATGGGGCCCACGGGCAATAGGGGATCATGGGGCTCCTGTTTCCTTGCCCACACTCAAAGCACACCCAAAAAAAGCCTATGAAAGGTACCAGGGGCCTTTCATGGGGCCCCCTACTGACCCCAGGCCCTCGGGCAGTGCCTGAGTGCTCAAATGGTCAGTCCGTACCTGCTCCCAACTTTCTGAGATTGGGAACGAGGGACACCTATTGGCAAGCGTATGTAGGCATAGGACACGACCCCCCTTAAAGGAGACGTACACAAACAAAAAATGTTGGTTAAAGCAACAAGTAGTTTTTTGACTGATACTATTCCTTTATATTGGCTTTGCAAATATCCAAATGCAGCAATTTAGAAATTGGATGAAAGGTTTAGCACTGTAAAATACTTTTTTTGATAGATAAATAGTGCATTTTATATACAACTATATAAAACAGACCAAAAGGAGGGACAAATGAGGAGAAAAGAGGGACAGAGGGACTTTGTTCCAAATGAGGGACAGTCCCTCAAAATCAGGGACAGTTGGGAGCTATGACAGTGATGATATCACTGCCACTTTTAAAAGGTAATATCTGGGTTTGCAAGGGGATTTGGTGCACAAAGTGGATTTTTATCCTTTGCTTTCTGTCTACCTATCACAGGATTTATATAGCGCCAACAGTTTGTGCAACGCTTTACAGCATGAGGGCAGACATTACAGTTACAATACAATTGAATACAGGAGGAATCGGAGGGCCCTGCTTGTAAGAGCTCCTATAGATCTGTGTAGTAATCCAGTGTGAAACTTTGCCTTGGTGCAGGAGATTCCTGTAACAAAGACCACTCACTGCTACTCTCTCAAATTGTGCAGAGTGACTGGTCTTGTCTCCGCCCCCTCCCGTAGTTTTCTGCAGGCAGCCTGTAGTGGGTGGGCTTTCTGGGCCTCCCACAGCTCAGCTCTCTGCACTGGCTATGAGCAGCACAGTGATCACACCTCCCAACTTTCTTAGATGGGAACCAGGGACACCTATTGGCAAAAGTTTGTAGGCATAGGACACGCCCCCCTTAAAGGAGAAGTACACACACAAAAAATGTTGGTGAAACCAACAAGTAGTTTTTTGACTGATACTATTCCTTTATATTGGCTTTTGAAATACTTAAATGCCGCAATTTGGAAATTGGATGAAAGGTTTAGCACTGTAAAATCCTTTTTTTGATAGATAAATAGTGCATTTTATATACAACTATATAAAACAGACCAAAAGGAGGGACACATGAGGAGGAAAGCGGGACAGAGGGACTTTGTTCCAAATGAGGGACAGTCCCTCGAAATCAGGGACAGTTGGGAGCTATGACAGTGATGATGTCACTGCCACTTTTACAAGGTAATATCTGGGTTTGCAAGGGGATTTGGTGCACAAAGTGAATTTTTATCCTCTGTGACTATTGAGGAATATAGATAAATGACATTTTTTGTGTGTCTGGAGCAGGGGCGGACTGACCATTTGGAAACTCGGGCACTGCCCGAGGGCCCGGGGTCAGTAGGGGGCACCATGAGATGCCCCTGGTACCTTTTTCATAGGCTTTTTTGAGTTTGGGCAAGGACACAGGGGCCCCATGATCCCCTATTGCCCGGGGGCCCCATGAGTTGTCAGTTCGCTCCTGGTCTGGAGTTCAACTTTAAAAAAACAAGCAGCTGATGCGAGCATCTCCTGCCATGTAGCCATCCCGGAACGATCCTGGAAGAGATCATTACGGCACCAAGAAAGTGTCTAACGGATAGGCAACAGTTACCTTTTCCATGGAAAGTGCAATGCTGCACCTACCCACCAACTGCACAGCAAGCCCAGCATTGCACCCGTCATCGAAGGATGGGGCATTTTTGGTGACACATCAGGTCTATGGTCAGCCTTAGCTGCACTTACTAAACTTTCCCTGAAGACGTTACGTATTGTGTCGCATCAACTCACTTGTTAGCGGTTTTCAGATGATCATGGATCCAGTCCGGGGATAATCAGGGTCCTCGTATCCCGGCAGAGGGTCTCCTTCCCATCGGCAGGGACTGAATGCTGCTCTCTTCTATGTGGAGGGAGGCAGAGGAAGTCCAGATCTACATAAACAAGACAGCCGGGGAGAGAGGAAGGGAAGGAAAAAAAAAAAAAAAAAAAAACTTTCAGGCTGAGCTGGTGAACTCTGTGCAGGAAGCAGAGACTTTCCAACATTCGTCTGATGTCAGCCCTGATGTGAGTGAAGCTGGCCCAGGCTGTAATATAAGCTGCTTCACTAGGCTGGCCGCCTGCCAACTCATCATCATCATCATCATGGCTTCTCCCAGACACGGCGCAGCTCTGCTGGCTACAACGCAGGCGACCAAACGATGAACTGCAAATCAGACGTCTTAGTTATTGACAGTCCCAAAAATTCATTACAGGTACTTATATAGCGCCAGGACTGTACATATATATTGTACATTCACATCAGTCCCTAACCCTCAAGGGGTGTACAATCTAAGGTCCCTAACTCACATACACATACTAGGTCCAATTTAGACAGGAGCAGGGGCGGACTGACAACTCATGGGGCCCCCAGGCAATAGAATAGGGGATCATGGGGCCCCTGTGTCCTTGCCCAAACTCAAAAAAGCCTATGAAAAAGGTACCAGGGGCATCTCATGGGGCCCCCTACTGACCCCGGGCCCTCGTGCAGTGCCAGAGATTCCAAATGGTCAGTCTGCCCCTGCTCTAGTGGCAACCTGTGAAGCTCTGGTGAACTCCATGCCTCAGAGGGTTAAGGCAGTGCTGGAAAATAATGGTGGTCACACAAAATATTGACACTTGGGGCCCAATTTGGACATTGTCACTTAGGGGTGGACTCACTTTTGTTGCCAGCGGTTTAGACATTAATGGTGGTGTGTGTGTTGAGTTATTTTGAGGGGACAAAAATTTACATGCTATACAAGCTGTACACTGACTACGTCACATTGTAGCAAAGTGTAATTTCTTCAGTGTTGTCACATGAAAAGATATAATAAAATTTTCAAAAATGTGAGGGGTGGACTCACTTCCATGAGATTCTGTAAATACTGCTCCCAGCATGCAATGGGGCCACCCTCCCCTGCAATTGGCCATGCCTGTATCCATATTCGTGCTGTTCATTTGCCTAGTTCCTCCCTATGTCCTGGAAGGCTCTCATAGCTTCCAGGAGGCACGTGAAGATCAAGAACAACTCCAACAACTCCAGAGCATCATAAGCAGACCTGACTAATCAATTGCAGCACCCTGTTAATGCCACTCTGAATTTACCAAACTGCCTCCCTGTTAAGCAGAGAAACACAGACATACTATCCAAACTGTACAAATCCAGCCACCTAACACTGGATTACAGTCGATTCTCTCTCCTCCAGACTACAGTTCCCATAGTGCAGTGCTGCCTGTCTCCTGAACTTCTCCTGCTCAGCAGCTCCCTCCTCTTGCTGATATAGCTGTTAACCAGTTCAGCACCACAGAGCAGCAACTACAGAGAGCAGCTGCAGCCAGTGTTCCTCTCGATCTCCATTTGTAACCAATCACCTGGCTACACCCATACAATTATCATACCTCCCAACTTTTTCAGATAGGAATGAGGGACACCTATTAGCAAATGTATGCAGGCATAAAATAAAACACACTCCCTGCCACACCCCCTTAAATGAGAATTATACAAAAAAAAGGATAAGTTAAACAAACAAGTGCTTTTTTTTACCACTACTATTCCTTTATATTGGCTTTTGAAGTTTACAAATGCAGCAATTTAGAAACTGGATAAAAGGTTTAGTGCATTTTAAATACAACTATATAGATCCGACCAAAATGAGGGACAAATGAGGAGGAAAGAGGGACAGAGGGACTTTTATCCAAATCAGGGACAGTTGGGAGGTATGCAATTATCAGTTGGCTGATGTGGAGATTGTGATGTCATCTGCCTGCCTTTCCCCCTCGGCCAATCAAAGGAAACCTTGTATTCATTGATAAAAAAAAAATACCAAGCTTACCGTGAATGGCTGAGCAGCTCAACTCAATTTCTTTCTGTGAACGGGACGTCCCCATACTATTGCCAGAAAACAGTGCTGTATGCTATATGTAGATAATGCTCCATACAGTTTATACAGCACTGACAATGGGCACATCAAACCTAAAATAATCAATTAGGAAATAGATAATTTCAGTGCTGGCTGGGATGACCAAAAGTTCTGAAGGCAATAAATCTACACTCTCTCCCAAGGTCAATATCAGCAGCATCCTCTGCAATCCATAACACATACTGTATGTGCGGCGGCACACCCACAACCTGCACATATGCGTCACAGGGCAGCATAGGTCACGCTGACAGCACTCGGTCCCCATTAACCTCCCTGGCGGTATTCGGGGTTAACTTTCAGTACCAGAAGTGGTGACCCCGAGCTACACTCAGAAATACACTGCAGCGTTGCTCTGGGATCCCTCCAGCACTTACCTTGTCCTGCGCTCCCACGATGTCCCCCCTGCAGCATCCCCGGCCATCTCCTCCGGCCGATGCCGGCATCCATCTTCTGGGTTCCATTCCATGCAAGCATTGGGATGTACGGGGGACGGAACCGGCGGGGTTTGATTAATTTAAAAAATTTTAAAATTTGACATTCACTCAGTACACTAAAATCTGAGTATTACATTACTGTATCAAACCATTTCACATACATTTTATCCCGAGTGCTTTGTCCGGCGCCCTGCCTGCATTTTTACTGTTCTTTCTGCCTGGAAACTGAGAAACGGCCATGGAGTCCAAAAAGCCTCCCTTTAGGTCAAAAGTGGTTTTAGACCGGCTAGAGAACAGCGATAGTAAATCAGAACCACTTGCAGAATTGAGTGATAATGATTTGTGGGGAAATTCGTCATCAGACACTGAAAACGATTATGCGACTTTGCTGAAATACTGACATAATCAGACATAGTCCCAGTGTTTTGGTTTGATTACAATTTTGGAATTAACTCATGTATTAATATTATCAAAACAAAAAAAGGAGGAAAGAAAGCATATCCGGGATGTTTACTAGACTCTTGTTCATAGGGAGGTTAAAGATCGGTGGTTGGCAGGACAGGTTCCCAATCATGTGACCACTGTGACAGCTAATCACAGTAGTCATATGATCGTTGATCCTTCCTGCCCCCCCCCCCCCCCCCCCCCAGTCATTCAGAGATTTTTAGGGGGAAGAAAATGGTTAAATATACAATACAGGATATGTTTTAGTTTCATATGAACACAGATTTGCTGTGTTCAATTGGCCTAAGGGGCTTCCTTAAAAGGGCCCCCTCCTACCCCCCAGGCCCCAGAACAGACGCATGGACTGTTGTGGTTATTGTTATGCCACTTCTATCTATCTATCTATCTATTTATTCCAGTCAATCATTCTATCTATCTATCTATCTATCTATCTATCTATCTATCTATCTATCTATCTATCTATCTATCTATTCCAGTCAATCATTCTATCTATCTATCTATCTATCTATTCCAGTCAATCATTCTATCTATCTATCTATCTATCTATCTATCTATCTATCTATCTATCTATCCTTATCCATATTATTAAACTGATTGTTAGCATTACATATGTGCTGCGCAGGAAAAGGAAACATATTCATGATGAAAGTGTAAAATATGGATTTTATTCTCTGATACAAAGCTCTGAGATTTGTTGACAGAGCTGGAAGGGCCACACAATGTTTGCTTCATAAAATGAATTACTAATGGGGTCATTAATATTGTTATAGCAGATTTTTAGATGTATTTGTATTACTGATGGACTAATGTGTGACTCCAGGGTGATTGCATGCAAATATTGCTGATAAATGAGCAGTCAGTGGCTCAGAATGAATAAACAGAGGTTAGCAATAAGTAACACCAGTGCCCAGTGCGATAAATGGACGGATCTAGCCTGAATATGAAAATGATATAATGATTGTGGTCATGGTGGTGATCAGTTATGTTGGTTGTTCTTGCAGTCTAGTTTACATGAGGATTCACCAACCAGTGGTATGTCAACCCAAGGGGGTACGTCTACCAGACTCTGGGGTTTCTTCTAAGATACACAGCTCCCAGCACCCACAGTATTCTGATCCATACTTTGCTCAGGCCTTACCCCAATAGCAGCCTTACCCATCACAAGTTTTGTTTCCAAAAGACGTTCCCATTTTGAGGTTAAGAGAAGTAGGAGTCCCTGTATTGGCAATCTTTTAACCTTTTTACTGGTGCACAGCTGATATACCTATTTACGCTCTAATTCATCCCAAATGGTGATGTCCCATCAGAGCAGAGATGAGAGCTGAATCGATTAGCAGACCTTACCTTTAGGGGTTTGCCCAAGTCCTACATCCCATACTCAAGGGATCTAAGTAGTCCCATAAGTCTTGCACATCTCCTACATAATGTACCCCTTAGGGGGACACTCAAAGAATCTAGGTCTTCAAAGATAACATTTTTGTTGCCTTGGTCCTTGCACTGCTTCCCATGACCAACCGATGCTCTGTTCATGTGGACTCCTGCCAATGGCAGGACTGAATCTTCCTAGCTATCTATGGTACACCCCACTCACCAATCTGGGGACCTCTAGTGCCTACTTAGGCACTTACACTGCCTATCCTTCACTAAAGGCTTTTACCCCCAATTATGGTGACATCTAGTGGCCAGTTGTGGGAATTAGAAAAGTCGCTTTTGTGTCCCAACCTCACACTTCTACCAGGTGGTACTTCCAACATACTAGGGTATTTATAACAGGCTCAGATGGTACTTCTAACATGCACTTGGGAATTACAACAAGCACCTCCCAACCCTACACTTCTACAAGGTGGTACTTCTACCATACAAGGGTGTAATTCTTGCAGGCTCAGGTGGTACTTCTAACATGCACATGGCTTACTTTCCAGAGGTTTGGAGGGTACTTCCAATGTACACAGGAGGTACTAGTACTAGGATCCCATGGTACTTGTAACAGGCTCAGGGGGTATTTTTAGTGTACACAGGGGGACTTCTACTGGCTCACATGGCACTTCTAACAGGCGCAGAGGATATTTAAAATGTACACAGGGGGTACTTCTACCAGGCTCTGATGGTACTTCCAACAGACTCAGAGGGTACTTCCAATGTACACAGGGGGTACTTCTACCAGACTAAGATGGTACTTCCAACAGATTCAGAGGGTACTTCCAATGTACACAGGGGGTACTCCTACCAGGCTCAGATGGTACTTCCAACAGGCTCAAAGAATACTGCCAACATATACAGTATAGGGAGTATTTCTACCATGCTCAGAGAAACTTCTACCTGATTTAGTGTTTACTTCTACTCGGTTCAAGTCGTTCTTTTTGCTACAGTAATTCTGCTTGTTACAGTAAATTCAGGCGATAGGGGCATTAAAACAATTTTTAGTCACATCCAGGTACATTTGCCTCCCATTCGTTCACATTAGCCCTCATCTTTTGCAAGATCTGATTAGATTTCTGGCAGAAGTTAACTTTGGCATAAAAAAACAATGAAGATTCAAGCCTAAACATTTGCAGTACAAATGATCGAGTGCAACAAGTCTCCATAAGAAATCAGTAACAAAATTGTTGACTCACCTGTTGAAAACGACCAAGACTTTGGATGTGTGATGTAACACTGGTCAAGTTACATATATGATGAATGTTACTATGACTTCAAAAAAGGAGAATTAAAACATTGGTGAATGCTGGAAAATATTGCTAGAAGGAGC